TCAATGTGAAAGACTATAACTATAGTAATAAACTACATCATGGCTGTGTTTTGACAATTTTTAATTTTAAAATGAGGAGCTTCAGCATTTATAGCATGTTTAGTATATCATTGAATTGGCTTTGCACTTTTTCCAAAGTAACGTTTTTGGGAGAAGCAATAAATTATTTGCTTTCGGTTAAAAGTACATTTAGGTATCTGGGAACAGAAATACAGACATTCAACAATTGGAAAGAAAGTAATACAAGTTTTGAAAATTGAAACAGGAGATAATTTTATAGCATAGTACAATAATAACCTCTATGTAAGAAAAATATCACAAAAAGAAAGTAATTGAAGCTTTAAAAATTGAAATAGAAGATTATTTTATTGTGCGAACAAAGACTTCAAATGACCACCTTCATATAGATAATAAAAAGGGTTGAACCCGTTATGCCAATCCATTTTGATCCATTTTTGGTGTGATGAATTGAGATTTTGAACCCTTCAACCCGTTTGTGATCCACTTTGCTTGTCCCACCACAAAACAGGTTGATGACATGTTGAGGTAGTTCAGTATGTTAACCCATTTTTTTCTTCTTCTTTTTTTAAATTATATTATATCGTTTAATTTTTGTGTTAAGGTTTACCTATTATGTTAATATACAAGATTTAAATAAATAATATTAATAGTTTGAATCATTTTGAACTTATATTTAGTAACATAGAGTGGAAATAATAACTCATGATATAAATTAAAATTTAATTATTTAATCGTCAAATAATTTTTTTAATTAAAAATATTAAGTTTGCAAAGTTTAAAAACCATTTGAGAACACACACTATATTAGACAAAATAATTTTTTTCTTGATATTTAATGTAATTGTATATTTAGGACTCAAATGCAAGATCAAAAGTTAAATTAAAATAATCTTGCAATCAATTGATCTACACGATCAAAGTTAATTTTACTTTTAAAAAAATATTGATAGAAATAACTTTATTTAAAATTAGCGTAAAAAAGTGTTTTGTACCTTTTTGAATCTTTTAAAAAATAATAAAAATTATACAATAATAGATGGTTAATTGAATGTATGATCGAGCAGTTATGGCATGAAGTTTAAAAAACAATAAAAAAAATAAAAATTATAATTTACAAAAGATTAGTTACATAAATAAAATTATATATGTACAACAACAACAAAAAAATTCTAATCCCTTTTATATTATAGATTATAAATTACTTTGGGAGTAACTTGGATCCTTCTCTTTCTGTATGATGAAATTTTTATAATTCTTAAATGCACAACACATCAACACATCGTGGTTTCGCGTCTAGTTTAAAACGTTAAGTTTGCAAGAAAATGTATCAAAGAATTGAAAACCATCATTGACCATAAAAAAAAGTCAAGTTTAAATTTGTTAAGAGGTGTCAAAAGTCAATATGTAATAATTAAAAGAATACTGAGTCCTAAAACAAAACAAAAAATGAAATTTGACAACAAACATGCTTTTCTTTTTTTCTTCCCACGAGCACGGAACTTTATTAGACAATAATGAAATAACGTTTTTTCAAGAGGAAAATAGAAAGTAATAGGTCCGTATAAAGTCTATACTATTATATTTTAAAGGCTCTGATTTGAGTCATGTGTTCAATGATAATGCTGCATTTGTACGATTGTTGACCATTATCATCTATTTATTTAAGGGTTTCCTTTGATATTGATAAAATTATTTTTTTTTACTCTTTTTACAAGAAAAGTATATAAAAGAAGGCTTGTCGTTGGGTTAATGATCTAAGCCATCGCAAAGACTTTTAAAAGTTATTCCACAGGCTTAACAAGAATTAAATTACAAACATTTCAGAGAAAAATTACTTTTCTATTGAATCAATCCATATTGGCATTAAACAGCTTACTCTTGATGGGAAAAATAATTATAACATTGAAAAACATATGATTTTCTAGTTTATTTCTTTGAAATTTGGTATAGAAGATGTTTTAATTAAGGATAAAAAAGTACTGAACAAAAATAAAGTATTTGTTGCATCTAAAATATAAATTATTTAAAACTTTTATGCAATTAAATTATTTAATAAAAGATAATAAATGCTCATATTACTAATACACTTAATAGTTAATACATCTATTAACAAATCCATTTTTCTTTTCATACTTTTGAACCTGAACTATTTCATTGTATTAGCATTTAACAAACATGTGTTTAAAAAAAAAATTCTTTATTGTGAGTGAATGAATGATAACTAATTAGGAACTTGTGGGTTGCACGAAGCTGTATTACATATAATTGAAAAATATAAAATAATCAATTTATTTTTCTAATTGAAAAATATAGAAAATTATAATTTTTTGTGATTTAATTTATCAACAAAATAATTTGTTTGTATGTTAAAGTTTTTTTAGTGTTAATTAATATGTCAGGAAAAATACTTTAATTTTGTGATTCAGGAATAAACTAGTGTTTTAATATTCTTATTGGAGTATGTTTCATTTCATATAAATTCAATAAGTTCTTAATGTACTACTATTGCAATTTTGGCAGTGTATATTTATATTTTATGTTGTGTTAAGTCTTCCTAATTTTGAGGCTTGCTGGAGACTCACTTTGTTATAATCATGGATATTAGAATATCTTGAGTAAAGATTTGTAAGAAATGTTTTTAGGGTCAACAATATCGAGCTCAACATTATATAATTTTAGAAAGTCAGGATAATGTTTTTTTTATCTACAAAGTGTTCTTATAAGGGTTATATTGGCATTATAAATGCCAAAGGAGCATGCAGAATTTATAATTATTTTCACCTATATATATCTAGACAGTTATGGACAATTGGGAACTTTAAGATTCTCTCAAGTTCTCTCTTTGTAATCCTTGTAGTGGGTGGGTATATGGGTTTAAGCAATCAAAGTTCAACATTTATCACTATCTCATGAAGATTTTTAGTTTCTTTCTTCTCTTTATCTTACTATTCATTTCTCCATCATCTGTAACTATTTTATTTTTAAATTAGGAGATGAAGAATACTTTCTAGAAGAAAATTAGTGTTATGAAATTGTGATTTTAGCATACTTCTAAAAAATACTTTCCAGAATACTAAACTTAATATTTTGAAAAAAGCTTTTCAAAATTATACAAAATAATACACTTCCAAAAAATATTTTTCGGAACATTAATTTTACTATTCTGAAAAGTATCTTTTTGAAGTATTTTATTTTATATAATTTTGGAAAGTTCTTTTCAGAATAGTAAATTTAATATTCTAAAAAGTACTTCATGAAAGTATGTTAAAAATATAATTTTAAACAATACTTTTCGAAATATTGAAATTAATGTTAAGATTTCTAGAAGTGTGAAGGGAAAAGGAATGTTCGAGAAAAAAGCATGTGTCTAGCTTGACACCTTCAAAATTGTCAAGAAAATCCCAAGTGTTTACAATATCTTCATATACTAGTTTTACGGGTTAAGTGCGCGAGAAAACTTTAAGAGGTGGAAGGAGGAAAGTAATGTAAAAATTGAAAGAATTAAAGTTATCTACTGAAATAGGCTAGGAGTAGGAAAATGACTAGGAGTGCATTTGAAAATTAAAAAGAAAAGGAAAGGAGGTACATGATAAAAAAAAAGGTGCTAAATTAAACCGTTGAAAGTATAAAATTAAAAAATTAAAGAATAAAAAACAAAGTTAAGAATATTTTAGGATTTGTTTAAAAAAAAGAGGTATACTTATATATATATATATATATATATATATATATATATATTTTGACTATGTGAACTAATTTAAACATATATAGAGATATTGGGTTGCTTTTTATTATTTTTTTTAATGATAATATGCAGATAAATTTGAAAGGAAATCTATTCATTATCTCAAATATGTTGTAAAGATTCTCA